TATACCCCACCGCCAGATCTACTCCATGCATCCTCCACAGATGTGATGAAAGATACAACGTTGCCCGTACTGTTATACTTTCCTGATTGATAGCGGGCTCAATTTCAACCCATACAAATGCTTCAGGCCCGATCGCGGTGCCCCACCATGCGGTGATCTTCTCCTCTCTTTCACTCTGGCATCTAGGTAGAGACATTCTCAACCCTTTTTCCGTACGAACGGGGAGCTCAACCCTGAATCCCTGACTGGCATACGCCATCTTTGGGCGATCTCCAGTGGCTTGAGCGATACAAAAGGAGAGACAAAAGGCACATAATACTTATACGTAAGTCCTATTTAGTACTGACATATTCTCTTTCTATATTTTTCTTTTCTTATGTCGCTCTAAGATATGAACGTTTCAACATAAATCCTCTTATTTCTTCATGTCCTACCCTCGTCTCCTCTTAGTATATTTATCCCTTCTTCCTCTTCAATCAACTTAAGACAAGCAAACTGCTTCCCTTCAGTTTCCTCTTTTTTTCCTTATCGCCTCTCATGCTCTTTTATCTTCTCGGTGTCTCTCCCTGTCATTCTTAGAATACAAATCCTCTCTTCTTCTTGTATTTCACTTGCCGTTACCCAATCCCCAGACCAGAAGTTATAGACCAAGTCAAACATGACGGGAATACCATCCACGCAGACTCCCGAGCTTACTTCCTCTTTCAACTTCTCCCAATACCCAAGCCTTTCTTCAATAAAATAAGTTCGGGCATATGAGTCTACGATGGACAAAACGTTGCTGAAATCACTTTCGGCAAGTTCGGGGCCCATCTCCAGGTATAAGCAGTAAATCATATAGGTACTTTCAGTGCGGCTTCAGCGGCCAATTCTACTCTTGCCTGACCATTAAACGCCTCATTGATAATGAAATCAGAGAGTGTGGTTCTGATGTAGCGGATCGGAAGAACGAAGTCTTCGGTCGGACGCACTTTAACTTCCCTCCTAATTTCTCCTTCTTCCTGCCATTGACTCCTTTGGATCCAGACGTTGAGTGCAGTTTCCGCTATCGTGGTAAGTTGTAGTAGATATTCTCCTCCCCCTCGACTGAGACCCATTTCACGACCATGTCAGAGACGGGTGGATAGGTAAACGATGACTCTCACATTACTGAATTTGTTTATCGTATCCCAACTCTTTTCTACCCACATAAATGCCTCACTTTCTTGCGAGTGGCCCCACTATGTCTCACAAAGTTCCGCTCTGCCTTTCCCTTTTGGCAGTTTCATTTCTAACCCATCATTGTTCCTAATAGGTGCCTCGACCCAAAAAACCTGCTCTGCGTAAGGCATCTTGATCGGATCAAGAAGACCTTTTTTTGCGACCTATCAAAAAGGCAAGCCAAAGACAACTATTTTGATGTACTGCTTCAACCATTAACTTCTGGGTGCCCTTACTACGGAATAACCCGACTTTCTATCATTAATCAAAGATCTTTATTAAAATAAGAATTCCTCCTGTATTCCCAGGCACACCTCTTGACTCTTTAGTTTCTCCCGGCCTGATCTAAGTAAGGATCATGAGAGTCCAAATTACATTTCCTCAGTCCTAGATACTTTTCTCTTTTCCAACTTAGATGGATTTCCTCACTCATCACTTTTAGTTAGCAATGAGAGAAACCCTTGGCCTCATCGTACCCTAATCTCCTCCTTTCGAGGTGGTCCTTAGATAATCCCTTTATATATCAGGTATGAGATCAACCCGCACATCTCAACCTGGCATAGGAAGAATAGTGCTAAAGTGAYGCATAACCTGTGATTTGTTGGCRMGTTCTGAGATACTACGGGAGGATAACGTACATATGGCGGTGGAGGTGGAAGGGCAGGCTGAGGTGGTTGGGGAACTATAGCCAACTGCTGAGGGCGGCGTGCGATGGAAGAGGACGGTGAAGAATATGGCATAGGATACGGACGAGAAGAAGGTGGCTCAAACCGTGGTGGCGGAGCGCCATAATGTTGTTGATATTTATAAGAAGAATATACCATCTTTCTAGGAGACGGCGTGCGTTCGCGGAAATCTTCTTGATGTCGACGCAAACGCGGTCCTTCCTATTTTTCCTCCTCCTCCTTTTCTTCCTCTCGCTCTTGTCTTTCCTTTGTTAAGTCAATCGGCCTTTTCGTCGCTTTCCCTTGTCGTCCACCTCTTCCTCTTCAAGCTCCAGATCCGCGAGGCATGGTTAAAAGTTTTTACCCAAGGAGTACCTTAGGTACCTAAACAAGGTAATGCCTAAGACTTGGGACACATATAGTTACTAGGGAATATCAAAATGACTGTGTAATATAGGTTATCTACCTGATGAACGAAAAATAAGAGGAAGTGTCACAACTAGAAGAGACTATCGTAGGGAAGAACCTTTTGAGCAGTCCCGTCAGTTTCTATGATGTAGATTGGGTTTTTTGCTATGAATGTTTCTATATGCTCCCTCTTTAGCAGACAAAAGGAAAAATATCTTCCCAGGGAGCGTACAAACTTAAACTGGCCGAGATGCTATACAGGGTACTTCAACTTGTACTTGTCGTACCTAAAAACACCTCTTCCAACACAAGGCTCGTAACAACAATTACTCTATAGTCTTCACTCCCACTACCCAGTAAAAACTTATATATTATTCTACCCTTTTACTTGTCGTTTTGCTAGGGCTTCAATTAACCAGACCCAGGTCCGTTCACATAGGACCCTGGCAGGCAACCGCAGGTCCTTGTGACGCATCAATCTGTTGTCGGTAGACGACTTGCATCTCTAGTGATAGCCACGCTATCTATTAAACCAAAGGTTGTCGTTTTGCCGTGATAATCATTTCACCATACCCGACCCCGTTCACTAAGGACCTCGGCTGGAAAGCGAGATCCCCGACAACGGCGCTACCTGTCGCGCGCGGCGGTCCCGCGTCCTGAGAGGGAGCGCTGAACACCCTCCGGTGCTTATGTGGTAGTCTGGTTGAGATCAGCTGAAGCCAGTGGCGGTTTCTCCAATGAACTGTGACTACATGGGGTGTCTTCTTTCTCTAATTCCTTTTCCCCGCGGCATTCGCCTTCTTTTACGTTCCTTTTAAAGAACCTTTGAAGTCGCTCCCGCTGGAGCACTCCCTT